TCACTTCTAGAAGGTGTTGTAAATCTTCATAAAACTCGTCAATTTCAGTCTTCAGCATTGATGGTTGGAGCATAAGCTTGGATTACTGTGATGTTGAAAGATTTGCCTTGGATTCATATTGACATCATTCTATCATTTTTGAGATTATATCCCATTACAGCTTTTCCCACTCTTTTGTTGACTATGAGCGCTACACCATTCCTTCTATGGGATTCTTGTCCACAATAGTAGATATGATAATCATCTGAATTGAATTTGCCCATTCCTGTCCATTTTAGTTCACTGACGCCCAGGATGTCAATGTTTATTCTTGACATCTCCTGTTTGGCCACATCCAGCTTCTCAAGGTTCATAGATCTTACATTCCAGGTTCCTATGCAGTATTTTTCTTCGCAGCATCGGACTTTCCTTTCACTTCCAGGCACGTCCGCAGCTGAGCGTCCTTTCAGCTTTGGCCCAGCCACTTCATTAGCTGTGGAGCTACTTCTACTTGTCCTCCGCACTTCCTCAGTAACATGTTGGATGCCTTCCGACCTGAGGGTCCCCTCTTCTAGCGTCATATCTTTTAGCCTTTTGTGGGCCAATTAGTAGTATAAGCTGGGCCAATTAGTAGTATAAGCTACTTGTACTTGTCCTCCGCACTTCCTCAGTAACATGTTGGACGCCTTCCGACCTGAGGGGCCCATCTTCTAGCGTCATATCTTTAAGCCTTTTGTTTCTGATCATGGGGCATTCTTGGCAAAGATACTGAAGTGGCTTGCCAATTCCTGCTCCAGGTGGATTGCGTTTAGTTGGAACTCTCCACTATGACCTGTCCATCTTGGGTGTCCCTGCACGGCATAGCCCATAGCTTCCCTGAGTTACTCAAGCCCCTTCGCCACGACAAGGCAGCAATCCGTGAAGGGGGTATATGGTATAGTTTCATGCTGTTTTTCATGCAGGGCTTCTTCAGGAGTTGATATTAAAAATGCAAGTAATTTTTAGTTACTTTGACCACTGGCTGGATAGTTTAGTGGTTTAGCCTGCAGAGTTAGAGGCTGGGAATTTGATTCCCCACTGAGCCTCCTGTGAAGTAGAGCCATCCTGTGTGACCTTGGGCAAGCTGCACAGTTCCAGGGCAACCCCAGAAGGGAATAGTAAACTACTACTGAATATTTTCTACCTAGAAAACCCTGAAAAGGATTACTATGTCAGTTTTGTTTTTTGGGGTTTTTTAATTATTGTAAACTGCTCAGAGTAGTGCTACGGCACTAATGTGGAGCAGTATACAAATTGTTGTAGTAGTAGTAGTAATCATCATCATCTTTATTATCTTTTTTACCAGACTGAAAAATTGTGCGGTAAATAATAAGCCAGGAAAAGTGCATAATATATTTGAGATTAGAACAAAGGAATCCATTTTGACCACTGTTTTGAGGGTGAACGCTGCAAGCTGATGCTGAATCTATCCTAACTACAAATCTATCAGTCTAAGTTTTGATTAAGTCTAAAATACCAGTCTTTGTTAATGCATTCCTGGACATGGCTAACAAAGTAGTCATATCATCTGTTCTAAATTTGAGGCTTACTCCTTTGTGTATAATGTTATTCTGGGAAACCAGCAAATACATATCGGCTTTGATTCTTCTGCAAACATACTTGCTCATGAAGGCATTTCCGCTAATGAAGGCAGTGGGTCTCTATTTGGCTGATTCCCACTTCCTGCTGCCCCCTCACTGCCACATCCCATGTTGATCCACACAAACGTACCCTCAGCATCTGGGAAGAAACAGTGGGGGGTGCCCGTAGCTGCAGAAGAAACAGAGGTGAGAAAGCCTCCTTCCCATGAGTGGAACTCAGCTTGCAGATGTCAGGAACCCAACCTCTATTTCTTCTCTGTTTCAGATCCAAGCATATTTGAAATGCCACAAGTTACGTTCTGCCTACCTAGTGTCAGTGAAACAGGAAAACACTAGAGCTTTGCAGTTGGTCCAGCATGTACGCCAGTTGGCTGAGGACAGTGGGGAAGATGTGGTGCAGGCCATTTGCACCCAGTGGCTTTCAGTGCACCAGACGAAGCCAAGAAGCTGGCTCACCCAACCCTCAAAGAAGTGACTACCAGGAAGTAGTGGTTGTTCACAATTTGCTTGCTTTAAAGGGAAGGGAAAACTGCATTGTGCTGATCACAACAACTTAATCTGCAGTTTGATTCCTGCAATGAAAGGGAAAGAATCGGATTCCTAAAAGTGCCAATCCTGTCCTTGTGACAACCAACTACCTCTGCATCCAGCTGTTTCTTCTTTTCCCTTCTCTTGCTGCTTCTCCACTTGTCAGTTCCTGCTTCAGCCACATATTCTTTTCTTACCATTAAGCTATGGTCATACCTGGAGCATTCTTTTACTCATTCAGAGCCACAGCAACTCAATATAATTAGGAATACTTTTTTGTGTTTGACTCAAAGTCATTTTTCAGACCAAAAAAAAAACCCCACAAACAAACAAAAAGAAAGAAAATACAGGGTTGTAAATTTGGAAACATGTTTTATAGTTAACAGATAGCATTGCCTCATGTGCTTTCTTTTCATACAGCAGTACGTATGAGGTATTTTTTTTTCCTGTTAAGTATTGCAAGACAATGATCAACTGTTGTGGTGGGAAAGCATCTGGCATGTACTCAGATAGCCTGACTTGTGGAAGGGGAAAGTGCTACACAAATTGCTTGGCTGAAAAATAGTACTTCAATACAATCTGCTGTATGTAGCTTTTCCATTGCTGGAAGAGAGGGGAGTCTTAAGGACCTTATAACTAACTAGTCGTACAAATGAAATGGTTAAATATACTGTATTAAAATGAAACCAGAACATCAAAATTGTTGCTACATTACTGCCTGGATACATTAAAGCCCTTGCACCAGAATGGAAACTCTTCTAAAATATGCCATCTTCATGATAAAAATACATCTTTTTTGTGTGTGCCTTTCCTTGAATGTTCACTGTGGCAGCCCAAACAAACATTGCAGAATAGTAATACTTCTGTAGATGGAATGACATGATTTGCCGCCTCTTGTATGAATGTGAATTAATTGGAAGGAGAAAACCAGGACATTTTTATTTGGGTGAGCCGTTAATGGAATCCCAGGAATTGCCTGCTTTAAATCTCTGGATGAAATGGTTTGTGTAGCAACTGCACTATTAATATTTTCCAATTCAGGGTTGGAAATTGATGACAAAAAGCAGAGCTCCTCTTGTATTTAAAGATAAGAGTTGTAATAGGGATCTGCGCATAAACACAGGATGATGAGGATGGTAATGCCAGATTAAATAAATGATGGAGATGCAATCTGAAATGGGTTGGTGGTGGTTATTTGCCCCAAGTCCAATTAGAACTTGGCGCACATGCTTTTTTGTGTGTGGAAGGGTCCTAAGTGATTGAGTACCCACCTGTTGTCACTTTCCCCTTTTCCAGACTAATTTAAAATTCTATTGTCCTTCTAATGATATAACTGAGAGCATGGTAAGCTAAAATGCTCTTCAGATCCATTGAGAGGGATCCAGCAGTCTCTAAGTAAAAGGAACCTGATTAATGACAGGAATTATTATCTCTTATCCAGAAAGTCTGAATAGTTCTGTGATGTGCAATTTCTTTTTCACAACTTTTGAATACAAGCAGTTCTTCATTCTTGTTTGTCCATCAAAATTTGATTTGTGTGTCATTTCATTAGATGACTCTTATTTTCCCCACAAACTTTATTTGAAAATAGCTATGTTGTGAGCACACTTTCTTCCAGTGAAATGAAAGTTGTGGCTGACCTTGTGTATAGATTTGATGACTGCTGTCACAGAACGAACATCAGTAATGCTTAATTCATTGGATGTGGTTTCCAGAAATAGCTTAGAGCTTAAGGAACTAGTAATGGCTACATTTAGAGTCCAGGTTCTCCTCCTCTCACAGATTTTGAAGCTTATCCTATTAGGAATGTAACGCTTATAAAAGCTGATTTTGTCTGTCAGAACTAAACTTCCAGTGGACTCCTGTCTAATCCACCTGGATGAGGTTCTGTTGTTTTGTTCACTGGGACAGGAGTTGGGAGTGGAAGCATTGATTCTGTATTAAGTTACTTCTGTTCTTGAGTAGCTGCAACCAACATTCCCTCTAATTTTCTGCTAGTGCTTGGTAGCCCCCCACACACATGTGGTGTTCAAATGAATGGCAACACTGGCTTGGCTATGTGCCACCAATGCAGCCACACAGCTTAGAGGGAATGTTGGCTGCACCCCATGCTGTTACATTTCCAGTTCTCTTCACGACTCTGCCATTCATCTTTGCCAAGGAAAATGAGAACTGGCTATGTTGAAGAGCAAAGACTGTTAAGCTGTGATCCCCTTTGCACTGTACTTTATGCACTTTACCTTGTTCAATGTTCCTTGGTAACTCTTGCTAAGGATTCATTTCTTACCAGCACAAGCTGCTTTGTAAACTGTTCTGCATCATATTTCCAGTGATCAGCTTAAATCCTGATGAACTAATGTTTTAAGACTTCTGATAAACGAGGAGCCTCTGTCAATCAGGAACAAGAATAAAATGTGTTTTGTCAATTTATTGGTTTTATGTAACTGTAGCAAATGTTAGAAGTTAATATGTTACATGCCTGAGGACAAACAACTATCTGCATCACAGATTAAAGACAAATGCCTAAAAACTATGACAAAAGAACAGTGTAAATTTTTATATTTTATTTTGGTATGATGTGTCAAAGTCCAGTAAAGACACTTTCAAGCAAAGAAAAATGTAATTTCATAGAATGATCCTTCACATAATTTTAAAGGCCATCTCCTTAATTTCAGTAAAACTCCTTTGTAAATGAAGCCAATCAGAAAGCAGACATTTGTGTCATACAGCTATGAATGCATCTGGCTCCAATATCCTGTAGAAACACCTTTATCGCACTAGTTTTTTTTTTAAACTGCATTGACTCTGGATCTTAGTAAGAGATCTTTATCTAAAGAGAGACCAGCTTTATTTTTAAGATCATTTATCAGCCTTGAGATACCTTTTCTTCTGGAATAAGGAATGTTTTTCTCTGTGGGTGCCAGACAGAAAAAATAACATGCACCTTGTGATAAAAGGCTCTGTGATGACAAAGTATATATAGTAATGATGAATGGTTGATCTAAAGGGAAATTTAAAATTTCTGTGATGACCTAATTTATGTTAACGGCTCACCCTCAAAACATGCTTTTAAAACATTGCAAAAAAATCCTTTATTGTATAGGCCTGTATTCTATACTACAATAACATGCAAAGAACTGGTTTCACTGACTTGAAGAATGCATAAGTACTAGCAAACACCTCCTGCAGCAAGCAAAACAGGATTTACTTGTATCTGAATTAGAGATGGGAGTATTCGTATTCATATACGAATATCCCCATACAGGTGGCATTAACGAGGGTCCAACCCCATGGGGCCGGGCGGTTTACTCACCAATCCGCCACTGCTGCAGACACCACGATTCTTCCAATGGCTTTGCAGATTGCGATCTCCGAGCCACTCTTCAACCTTGCATTGAGGCTTGGCCTCCCACCTCCTGCCAGGAGTGGCTCGCTGATCGTGATCTGCGGAGCCATTGGAAGAATTGCAGCATCTGCAGCAGCGGCGGATCGATGAGTGGACCATCTGGCCCCATGCGGCTGGACCCTCGTTATCGCCACTTGTGCAGGGATATTCATATACTAACCCGAATACCCCCATCTCTAATCTGAATTAATCACTTTCTTGGTTACTTTTCAATATAGTCTCCCAAAGGCAGTCCATATGATTTCTCCTACCCATCTTAAGAGAACAGTGTCCCTCACTTTCTGTGTGTTTTCAGAATCGGGGGAAACCCAGGCTCACAGTGGTGGCATTAGTATATGAGTAAGGAGTAATTAAAACACATTTTTGCTTCTTAGTGACATCATAACTGATGTAAGCTAGTTCTTTGTTCAGATCTACATTTGGTAGAGGTGGTGAATATACTAGAACAAAATGCCTGAGGAGAATGGCAAATCTGGCCCATGGGATCAGATGAAGGCTGGGGAGATTGCCATCTAGCTCATCAGTATGAGCTAGATGGCAGTCTTCCCCAGACAGGTCTCATCTCTGATCAGCAGATAATCATAGATACAATCCTACCCATGCTCAGAACGAGAAAGTGTATATCTTAGTTCTGAACAGGGGAAAATGCTCTTCCTCAGCTGATCGCCATACATCAGCTGTAGGGGCAGCAAGGGTGGGAAAGGTCAGCATTAGAGATGGGCACAAACTCTGAGGCAGTGCCCTGGCTTTCCTGCCCCACCTCCTCTGGGCTCTGCTTCGGAGCAGGCACCCACCAGAGGAAATGGGGCTGGAAAGCACCACACACTTGTCCAGCCAAAAAATGAGCCAGCATAAACCACTGAACTGGCGGTTCATGCCCATCTCTATTCAGCCAGAACCTTTATTGGCATACAGTTTGAACTGCTATATCCATTGCCAGCAAGTAGCACCTCTCGTCCGCAATTTTCACCACACAAAATCTCTGACGTACATACTACAAACATTACTCTAAAACACCACTTCAAATAGACAGGATAGATGCCAGCTGATTCCTATTTGTGTTTGGGCATTAGACTGAAAGCAGTAACTAGGATGATTATTTTCATTAGAAACAATTTCATCCTGCTAATTGTTCTGTATATAAGAGGTCCCCAATCCCCAGCCCGTGGCCCAGTGCTAGTCTGTGGCCTGAGCCGCAGAGACAGACCTCCCCCCCCGGCACGAGCACTGTGCTGCCCTTTGTGCATGCACACAAGCATGTGTGTGCCCGCACAAGTGCACACGTTCCTTCGTGCATGCGCGCACAGGCACAGGGGTGCCCCGCCTTCCCCAGTGCGTGTGCCCGCACAAGTGCACACATTCCTTCGTGCATGCACGCACATGCACAGGGGTGCCCCGCCTTCCCCAGCCAATCCGCGGGGCTAAAAAGGTTGGGGACCACTGCTGTATATGATACTGATGAAAACAGCCCTAAACTTCTTCTACATCTCAAACATTTTGAATTTTAATGAAAACAGCCCTAAACTTCTTTCTTCTACATCTCAAACATTTTGAATTTTGTTCATCTCAAATCAGATTTGTGGCCTTTAGTTCTGGCAGTGTTTTCTTTTTTAGGGGTGTACAACTACAGGTAAGGTGCTGTCCATGATTCAATCCCAATGAATGCCTAGGAGTTCACAGCTCACATTCCAGAGTTGCCTTGCTGTTTCATCATTGTGCCCTTGAGGAGATATATATGCTGGCTTGCAGTCACTGGAAGAGGAAGGGAAATGTTTCTGTTAGAATGTTTGGATTGCAGTAGTGTAATTTAAAATGGAGAATGGCAAATAAAACAAAGGAGTCAGGAAGAAATGCAGATGAGAAACACGCTCAGGTTCTTATCCCTTGGGCTTTCTCATTTGCTTTTGCAACTAATTAAGACTCTACCTTTCTCCCCAAATATTGGATTACCTTCCTACAAATGTATAGCTGGCACAGCTGTTTAATACTCAACTCACTGGTATTTTCAGAAACTCCGTAAGAGTGTTGTAGCCTACCTTTATGTATACCACCGGTGTATCTGAACAACCATGTACAATTTGACGTTACGCTGTGGTCTTTCAGCCAGGCAGAGAAAACAATCATGCAACAATAAACTCAGGGAGGGGAGGTCCTATCTCCAGCCAGACTGTGAACCCATGAATCAGAGTAGTTCCCACATGACCCTAATTTATAAATTCTTCAGCACTGGCCAGAGAACTGCAAATGGGAGTGCCTAGCATATGGTTACCACTGGGTTTGACACCATCATTATACTGGGTAGGATGGCCAGATTCAGAATTCCAGTTCTTCTAAAGAAACAACCGGTACTACTCAAACAGATAAAACCAGCAACACTCCTTCCTTTGATGCCGTTTTTAGTTATTAAAACTACAAGACATGGAGACATTACCATTATTACAGTGAGAAATAATTTGGAATGGCAAATTCACCCCTCATGTAAGTCAAAATTTATAAATTAAGTGACTTGGTCAGCATTTTGCATTCTACCTGTGTCACAGGAAGAATCAGGTGTTCGTATTGATGGCATGGCAAAAATTATGGTTTTAGTTTGTCTTCTAGAAATTGCTATCTCAAAGCTTTTCCCAAACCCCACTGTGGTTGCTAGAACTGTCAGTTGTACACTTGTATGAGTCTTCTGTGAGAACTGTCTACTGAGGGTATACAAAAAAAGCCAGTGGTGGAATCTTACAAGAACCTCTCTCTTTTTTCAGTTAAAGAATCATATGGTCCTTCTACTCGTAAGCTACATCTTGTGAATTGTTTATAGAAAGCAACTTAAAAACCATGAAGGAAATGGATAGCTACCATTCCTAAGAGACAGCAAAATGTTCTGGAAAATCTCATGTCAGCTTTAAAACCTCAGCTCACCTGAAATACTTCCCACTCACTGTGTCCAGCTCCTCTGCCACTGCACAATACACACTTGTTTGGGCTCCTTCTACAGGGGTCTTCAAGAAAAAAGGCAGAATCTTTGACAGAAAATACAGTACAGATGAATGACGGGCCAATTCAGAAGAGACTGTACCTGGATGCAGGGCATTTACGGTAACACCCGAACCTAGAAGAAATCACTCATGCATTAGGACTCAGAATATGAGTGTTAAAATAATAAAGTTGGTCTTTGTGTCTAGAAAGATACCTCAACCCACATGAATCAGAGAACATGCTGCTGTTTACCTACATGACGACTGGCAAAATATGCTACCTAGTTCTAGGAAATGATGTCATATCACAAAATTCATGTGTCTATAAAAGAAGCACAGACACATAGTAAGTACATCCCCACATTTAAACAGTCCTTGTGAGAACACAAGCTACTGTCATTGAAACAGGTTTGGCTGTAACTTTCTTCTGCATACACACATATGTAGAAAACTTAATCTACCCATGAAGATGCTTTCCTAATCAATTAGATTGTTTGAAACACTTGAGACCTTGTATTCGAATTTCTGGATCGCACTAGACAGAAGACAGAATAAATAAGACAGAAGACAGAAGAATAAATAAGTGGTTCACTGGAAAATATGCTTGATACCATAAACTATGGCACAACTTGGGAGTTAATCCTCTATTTCATGTGCACACTTTACGCAAGAGACACAGGATTGCAGCTTAGAGTTCTTGCCACTTGCTGAAGCACTTTTGCGTTGGATAAAAGACAGCAAGACATAATAGAAAAAAACATGTCACAATCTAGAAATAATAAACTTGCCTATGGCCCCAGATCCCAATTAGTAACATATCATCAATCCTTTTGTTTGCCACCTCACATTAGCCAAGGTCACTGGTTCCTTCCCACTTACCTTGCAGTCGTTTAGCCAGCTCCCGAGTAAACAGAATATTGGCCAGTTTGCTGTGACAATAGGCCAGGCCCCGGTTGTAGCTCTTCTCACCCTGGAGATCATGAAAGCGAATCTTCCCTCCGTGATGAGCCATGGATGACACATTCACTATGCGAGCTGGCGCAGATTGCTTCAGTCGCTCTATCAGCAGAAATGTTAAAAGGAAGTGTCCTAAAAGAGAGAGATGAGCCTTCTGTTTTAATCTGTAATTCTAAGAGAGATACAGGGACATCTTTACTCCACCTTGTACCCTTAGTGAAGAGCCCTAGTGGCAGGTATACATTTTAAAAACAAATAGCGAATCAGTTGCAATTGCTTCTGAACATAGTGGAACTTGAAAGCCTTTGGCCTCTGTTATTGTAATTAAAATAATTGATAACATGAATTATTGTGGAATATTTATAATCTCCAAAAGTTTATCCCATCCTTCACATGATGGGTCTTTAAGCAAAAAGCAGCTGTTCAAAAACATAAGTACCGTATTTTTCGCTCCATAAGACGCACAGACTTTCCACCCCCCTGTTTTGTGGGGGAAAAGTGCGTCTTATGGTGCGAAAAATACGGTAATTATTCAGATGTACTTTATCATGGATTTGCATTTGGAAAAAATGTACACATAGGCTAATATATCTGTTAAATTCAGATAGCACTGCAAACCCGGGTAGCATTTTATTTTAGATCACAAAAATCAAATGAATAAAGAAGTAGCATTCTGATTTTAATACTTGAAAAATTAAATGGAAAAGATGAAACAAGCTAGGATTCTATATACCAAAAGGGTGACTGGCATAAAATAGCACAGTTGATAATGAGCTTTAGATCACTGACATTTTTCTGCCACAAATTCTACTAAGGGACACCTATCTGCATGCAGAAGTAGGTTCCCACAGGTATGTTTCATAAATCAAGAGTGGGCGAAGTGTAGGCCTTCAGTTTTCTTTTATTGCAATACTATAACTGATTGGCAGCAATCCAGTTGGCAAACCTTGCTCATGGCTATGACATCAGCCATGTGCTTTTGTCCCTAATTTAAATATCATTATTCCTCAGTCACGTTCCAGTCAAGGTTGGGATCACTGGAAGCAATTTTCAGGTATGAAAGCCCCCCCCCCTCAAAATCCTAAAGCTCTCAAAGGCTTCCCCATGGCAAAAGTGATACCTAGTGGGCTCAGAATATGACCGGTGGCAGGGCAAATTGGAAGCTTTAAATTAGGGATAAAAGCCCATTGCTGATGACAGTATCAGCTTGCATGGGCATAATAAACGTACTTAACAGGATTTCAACGTTTCTCTGACTAGGGCTATGTAGTGTTGATGACTGTAGCTGATTGCTCTATCCAGCTTGTGTGCAGCTGGACTGAGTAGCTGCCACTTTAAGAAGCACTTTAAGACCATGAAAGTTGTCATCTAGGACAATGGACCTCAATCTTTCAACTCCCAGAAACCTACTGGGGCCTCTGGGAGTTGAAATCCAAAAACATCTCAAGAGCCAAAGACTAAGAACTAGTTTCCTGTGCCATATCCTGTACCCCTCTGGCCACAGGCTCTGTTTCTGCATGAAGGTTCTGATCTTCCTTATTATTCCATAAAAAAATTTATATTAACGTCTCATGGTTCTCCTCTTTATGAACCTTTTGGCTATCAGAAAAGGAGAAAGACGTCCTAAATTAATATATTTTAATGGGGTAATTTTAGATAGATAGAAAGGCTTACCTACACAATTTTAATCCACAACTCAAAACCTTACCAAGGTGGTTGACTCCCAGGTGCATCTCAAAGCCATCCACTGTCTTGGAGTAGGGGCACAGCATAACCCCTGCATTGTTGATGAGGATATGAAGCTCTTTCTCCTCTACAAGAAAGAACACATGGCACATTATTGAACAGCCAGCCAAAAAGAAAAATGTAGCACTGGCACAACAGGGAGTTGGCCAAGAATTCTCTTCCTTTCTTTCCAAACATGGTGAGTGAATTCTCCCCTTTTCTCCCCTCCAGAGGCCAGAATAAAAAAACAATCTTACTTTCTCACAGCAAAACATTACACAAAGTACAGTATACACATCCTGTGCGTGTTAGCCTATGAAAATTGTATGACAGTCTATCAACTTGGACTGTATCTCCAGGTGCCACCAGTTTATCATTGGGTGTCAACTAGTCAGTTTCCCCCAGTTATCAGACTTCACAGCCATGTACTTTGTCACTGAAAATCAAGAGTCCATCTGCATTGTTTTCCACACCCCTTAACTTATTTCTAGCAGGTATGGTTGCTTAGAATCTATGTACCAGACCTTTCCAATAATTTCATAGAAATATCTTCTTGTAAATTAGTTTCCTTTAATAAAGACATTGTTAATACAGATAACAGACAAAATCCTTTTGGTTTGTACATTGGCAGAACACAACTGGTATAAACCTCAGCATCATGAAGTTCAACACACAGCAGCAACTTCTTAAACCTGTGTCAATTTGTCACTGGGATTTCCATCAAGTGTGTTATGCCAGCAGGTGTGATCAATAGAATTTTGGCCAATTATACTTTTTGTTGTTCTAAATATTGGCACCTCTGGGATTGGAATGGTTGTCCAATTAACTATTTATTTATTATTATTTATTATTATTTATTTAATATTTTTATATGCCATCTTTCTCTCTATAGGGATCCAAGGTAGTTCATAACAGATAAAATAACAGTTTTAAAAACACTATATAAATATCATATTTTTTAAATAATGAAACATATATAACGATTTTTTAAAATCAAGTTTTAAAGGAATTCAAAGACAACTAGACACCCCAGAGATCAAATAACTGCTTAGATTCTCTAAAAACAAAATAATTATTCATTTTATTAGACAGAAAGTTCTGATAATTAAAAATGGCAATTAGAAAATAAAACAATACATACATGTTTCAAGAGCTACTGTGAATTATTGATGGTTACAGATCAGCATTCCAGTTCAATAAAAATGTGGAATTAGGAGATCAGTTTGACAACCACTTTACATTAGTTACTATTTTACTGTCTTATTCTTCTATTCACTGAGCTTTTGTTAGTATGTTTATAAATTAGTTATGATCAAAACTGAAATCATAGGCCTCAAAAGTAAGATACTAGATTGATTCTGAAATCAACAATAATAGCTTCAAATTTAAAAAAAAAATCTTACAAAGATTTAATCATTTAATTTCTACTCTCCAGAAAAATATATCTGATGAAAGTATCCTATCAAGGAAAGGCTCAGCACTTCCTACTAACTGAAGATTTGATCAGGAACGCACCCCTCCTGAAAAAACAATGTCCACTGAGGCCATTTTAGGTAAGCTATATTAACACCCTACAAGAACCATGGGAAACAATCGATGAACCACAGAGACATTAACAGCTACCATATACAAAATGTGGCTAAACCTTCTTGAAAACTGTTAAGCTGAGATGCTTTTCAGGAAAAAATAAATTTGAGCTGGAAGTCCACGATTAAGCAGCTCAACCTGAGCCAGATATCTTGGTCTACGTATACATGAATCAATGACACCATTGGAAGTGAAAGCAGTACCATCACTAAGGATTCAGGCTGCAGAAATGGTTTCCCAGAACAGAGACATCTTAAGCTACAGTCACACTGTGACTGGGCTATGTTGGCTATAAAGTGATTTGTATTCCCAGACCAGGAAGGATATCCCAAAAGTCTTTTTCATATTCTTACGCTGCATGGATTATGAACAGAACCATCTTAACCCACAAATCCATCATGTGGAAACGAATATGATGGCAGAATTCCCGTGCTGCTGATAGGCCATCTGCATCAGCAGGAACTGGTCACAGACAGTGAAGCTGTGATTTCAGCCTTGGATCCACTGCTCACCACACAACTTTACTCCTCTAGAAATGGACCAGGTAATTATACCAGAGTGGAGTTGGCGTAGTTAATTCCATCCCTGCCTATGTAGTTTATGTGAGGGCATTTAAATAAATTCTTTGTATGTCCAAACCCCCTACAATGGGTGGCACAAACTAACAGGAATCAGTATTGTGAACCACCCAGAGTAATGCTGCGGCACTAACAGGAGTGGTATATTAAACTGATTAAATGAATAGATAGATAAATAGATAGATCGATAGAACAATCTGTCTTATCAATCAATCAATCAATCAATCAATTGATAGATCGATAGAACAATCTGTCTTATCTATCAATCAATCAATCAATTAATCAATCAATCAATCAATCAGTAAGAAGATGACTGTCCATGACTTTACTCCCCTCTCTTCCATGGGACTGCTCTTTCCAATCAGATTTTGGACCACTCTGAAGACAAATCATTTTTGCTTGATATATGTATGAATAATTGGAAAAAAAACCCTAAATATATATACAATACAACTTTTTACCCAAAACAGGATCTCAGGGTGACTTAAAATACAATAAAAATAAAAGCAGAAATCTTGTATTATATGTCCAGCTACACATGCAACTGTCATAATTTAAGCCAAAAAGAGGCACCTAAAGGATCACAGTGAATGGTAAATCTCAGCTGTACCTTTCAGGAAATTCTCAGCAAATTCTCTGATAGACTTGGTATCTGCCAAGTCTAATTTCTTCGCAAAAACGTCCTGGTTTCCAGTTGTGTCCCGAATTTCAGAAACTGCTGTTTCTGCCTTTACCATATCTCTGCAAGCAAGGATGACTCTAGCACCTACAATAAGGCAAGGTAGCGAATGAGCTAAGAATATAAATGAGGGTGCACAGTAGAAGCCATATAGCTCAAAATGCTTCCAGTAAATGGTTCTGTTTGAATCTTTAAATCAGCAACAGGGAATGGATGGCCTTCCTGAGGTTGCACTGCAACTCTGTTCTCCCTGATCACTGATGTAATGGCTCAGGTTGCCTGGACTTGCAGTCCAAGAACATCTGGAGGGTCACAGATGCCCCACACCTCTCTTGTTTGCACTGGCCAAACAATTCTGAAGGTACTCTGAAAATGTGTTTAGTATGGCTGCGTAAAATATGGGGCAACCCTAGGGGCACCTCTATAGCAAGGTCTCCTGCTGCTGTCAAAGGCATTGTGCAGCTATTCTTACTCACCCCCATTTAATTGGATTTCTCTGCTAAAGAGCAAAAAAGAAAAAAGGCAAAGGGAAAACATGGGGGAAGGTTGCATATGCAAGACAATTGGCATTCAGATCTTTTGTGGTATTTAGATCCACAAAGGGGCCTTTCAAGGCCACAGTTAAAGTGCGGTCTAGAAGGCCCTCCCACTGGCTGGAGCTCTAGCTATGTTTATAAATGGCTAATGGCCGAGCCCTTAACTAGTCGGCCCGCACTTACCACTGCAGTTCTGTCTGGCAAAACTGGCTAGAGATATCAAACTGCAGCCACTCATAGGATAAAGTCCAAGACAGTCCATCACAGGACTCCAGCTACAGGAATGTTATCAGAAAAATCTTTATTGCTTTGCTTTTGTATTAAAAATCTTGAGTATTATGTGAATGTCCCAAGGTTACTCAGTGAGCTTGATTGACTAATGGGACTCTAAATCCAGATCTTTCAACCCCTAATCCAACACTTTAACCCAGTGGTTCCCAGCCTTAGGTAACCCAAAAATTCTTGGATTGCAGCTCCCAGGAAACCTGGCCATTGGTCAAGGCTTCTAGGAAGTGCAGTCAAAGAACACCTGGATTATCCAAGGTTGGGAACCACTGCTCTAACCATTAAAATACACTGGAGTGTACTGCAACAAAAACAAAGGAACTAGTCGTTCCTCTAAGCCTCTCTGTGTGTGTGAGAGAGAGTGAGAGTGAGAGTGAGAGTGAGATTAGGTGTTTTGGGTTGGAGCAGGATCTGGGCTCTGTTCATGGAAGAGGTATCCAGCCGGTTTACATCACAGCTAATCTCATCAGCAAAGCCTCCACACCCTATAACTCTTTGTATAGCATTTTCAGGGGGCTGGAGAGCCTGCTTTAGGAAAGGGGAAGTTCCCTTCAACCAGCTGATATGCCAAACCTAAATAGAGATCTAATCCCTTGTACAGATGTATTGCAAAAGAATATTGCACAAATCAGCCATAAGCAGAGTTTGAGAAACTGGCCATATTGGCTCAGGGATTCTGGAGGTTGCAACCACAAAAAAGTACTCATTGCAACATCTGTAATCAAGGCTCACTTGGTTAAGGAGAAGATCAGCCACAATCAAGAAATTTTATGATTTAATGAGGTCAAGTGAAACCCTCCTCACTGACCGAGGCTGCCATATTCCCTTGTCTGAATGAAGAACCCTTGCCTGAACCATGGTGCTTCACGATTCTGGGGCCATCTACAGTGTGTCAACAACATCCACCAGTCTCCTAAGGACATCAAGCAGCCAACACAAAATTGTATATAAAGTCTTGAACAACACTCAAACGACCCGACTTCAACTTCTTTTTTTAGCTATGGAAGCCCACTGGAGGTGAAGATGGTAAAACAATCCTCACATACCTTGAAAACCTATTTAGGGTCACCACAACTCAGAAACAACTTGACAGTACATAATAGTAAGAACTTCACAGTTGCTCAATATTCTACAGCACTATAGGTTTTTTGAGAATCCTAATTCAGCATAGACTCTGCACATGTAAAACAGGAGACTCTGAAACTCTGGCCCATGTATTTTTCTCTACTGTGATTTGTATTAGGATTTGAAATGTCTTTTTTGGGGGGGTGCACTTTTATGCTATTAGAACTCAGCTGTGTTAGCTAAACTAGATAAATCATATCTTGACTTTTTCTCTTATGTCTCTCTGCTTGGTTTGGTAATGGTAAAACAGGCTCCAGGATTGAAATACAGTGGGGTCTTGACTTGAGAACTTAATCCGTATTGGAAGGCGGTTCTCAAGTCAAAAAGTCTGTAAGTCAAGTCTCCATTGACCTACAGTGCATTGAAAACCGATTAATCCCGTAACAGGCCGTTTTTGTTCCATTTCGGGTTTTTTCTGGTCTGTAAGTCAAATCTCAGTCTGCAAGTCAAACCTACATTTTGCGGCCAGAGAAGTCTGTAACTCAAAAAGTCTGTAAGTCAAGCCATCTGTAAGTCAAGGGTCCACTGTAAACTTTGACTTGATTTGAGTACTGGAAAGAGAATTACCACAAAAACAGGCACATATTTAAACTTAAAAAGTGAAGGGTGAAATTTTTGCATACAATTTCCAGTACCCTAGAAAAGATAATGAAGGTGAAATCTAACTATATTCCAATAATAGTGTTTTGATAACATTATGAAAAAACAGGCAACCAGGTGCTCAACTTTCCACTGAAGGCAATGATTTTGTTTATCATTTGTTCTGTCTGTCTTAATGACTAAGTGCTGATGGATGGAAATGAACAACTTGCCTCTTCTTGCAAGGTCTCTGGCTGTTTCCTTTCCAATGCCAGTGTTGGCTCCTGTGATCACTACAACCTTCCCATTCAACTTAGCTGTAGACTTGCACACTCCTCCTGCAATATATTTCCTACAAAAACAAGGATGCAGTCATAAATCAAGGTTTCATATGCTTATGTAACTAAGAACTAAGAGTTGATCCAAGATCTCCCTTCTTCAGTCAGAAAGACTCCATTCACTGAAAGTGACTCTATACAGTTCTCAGGGCTAGCCAGCTTGGGAAAAGAACTATTTTCATAGCATTTACCAAACTCTGCAAATCATATACCTTTATACGTACTTTGGAAAGCCCAAAAATATTGTTGAGAAGAAGTGGAGGAAGAGAAAGAGAGCCCTTTTATGCTGATAAAGCAAAATGCTCTCCAAAAATTGCACAGGTTTTAGCTCACAGATGACCTATTTTATAAATGTAAACAGAATGAAGAAGATAGCAAAGGACCATATAAAGGCAAATTAAGGGCACCAGCTCCATGATTAGACTACATGCTTTCAAAATTCAGTCCTCATCTGCAGCACTCACAGTTATAAGTCATATGCATTTCTGGAATATGTCTTGACTAAAGTGAAGGGGTACACAGCAAAAGAAGAATCAATGTATGTATTTCTAGAAAGACATGGGGAGGCTTGAACTGTAAAGTCAAAGCCCTGCAACCTAGTCCCAAAGGGGAGAGTGGCAGTGGGTGAAGAAAATATGGAAAGAGTGATATGTAAAGGGTGATTTTAAGGGAGTGTAACACCGTTTGTTTGATTGTTTATTGTTTTTTTCTTGTTTGCTATATTACTAAAACATATAAATAACTCATATGCTTAGGTAAACACTAATTAAGCTTCTCACACAAAATCAGGCTGACTCTGAGAACTGGAGGTACTTGAAGAAGCAAAATCTCTGGAGATTTAATATTTTGCTCACTCAGTCCTTTCCCTCTAAATACAGGTTATGACCTCACTTTTGATGGGGCTCTCATGCCTTTTCCATTCTATATTTAATTTTTCTACACAAGTTCACCATTCTTCGTACGCACATGCAACCATGTAAAAGTCATTCCCCATCACATCATCCTATACCATTAGGAGATGTTTAAATAGATCACAGTCAAGTAGATGGAGTCAACTCACTGGGGCAGCCCCCCCTTCAGCCCTACAAGGTGGTTGTGATACATCTACATGTTCCTCCATGGTGTGAAATTGCACCACACTAAACTCCCAGACCACTGTGCACAGAGAATACTTATAATAACCATTTTGCTTATGAGGAGCATTGCTACTACTATTTTCTTTTCATATCATTTCTAATGAAACACCCCTTTATTGCTCCAGAATTATTGGATTCCTGCTCTCCACCCGGCTTGGTATGGGACTGGTCACAAAACCACTATTTTAATTCCATTTCCACCTGACTTTACAACTCCAGTCATTATACAACACTGGGAACAGCTACTTCCCCACCACCACATTAAACTGAGTGGTTGGTGCCCTTTTTAAAATTCTCTTGAGGATAATTCACAAAAGTGCAAGTACTAAGTAAGGGATTTGGACATTTTGAAGATTGGTAAACCAATTGGGATATTCTAAAGAGGTCGGTAGTGCAATCAGCACTAATACCCCCTGGTTTGAGATGTAATCTAATTAAGTGTATAAGGTTATAATCATCTTAACATGGGCTGTAAGGCAGAAGTGAGTGAAAGACAGGTGAAGGAGTTCTCAGTGTACTTGTCTGTGAACTTCCTGCTTTCTCAGATGAACCATCAGGATTAGCAGGGGATTGCTAAAGATGTATTTCTTATTTGCAATTCATTGCACTCCTTCCTCTCCCGCAATTCTCAGATTCCACCTCACAACATTATTTCTATAATACATCTAAACGGTTAAGAGGCAAAGATGATAAAAGACAAGTGTTTAAGATCTGCCACAAAAGTGTTTTTTGGGTTTTTTTTAGCTGAAAAGTTCACCACTCTCCTAATCTGATAAATGGCTCAGGGAACTTTGCAATGTTACTAGCCAAGTTGCTCTTGCGGGTCTCTTCCACTATCTCCCAACATCTGGCGACAGCCCCCGCCCCCCGCTATATGTGTCCTAAGAACATCAACTTTCTCTCCCACTTTCCCCAAATCACAGAATGGTTTCCAACTGCCGAATATCTGCCAAAGGTAATAATAATTTAAAAATCCCCCGTTAGGGATTCTAGTAGCATGAACATCCGACCGTCAATTACAATTCGTCCTCTTTGGACTGTGCGCGTGAAAATACGGACAAGCGCCAGAACAGGGAAAGAGACACAGGATAATGAATCCAAATATACAAGGCAATAATCAAGACAATATTGGAAGTATTGATTGTGATAAATGGGCTCTTAAGAAAACGAGCCTTTCAAACTTGCAATGTAATCTGCCTCCGATCTGCACCTTGCGACATCCATAAACCAAATTAAGCTCCCTACCAAAAGGACGGGTGGGTCAAAAACAAAAAACTTTTATGTCTACAGAAGAACTCCTTTGGGGGAAAACATCTAAAAACAGGATACATTTGTGTGAGGCTACTTTCCTTACGAGATAACAGTTAAGACGCTCAAAGGCTGCCACAAGCCAACCTATCCCGTTCACAAACCTGATATAAGGGGCGGCCAGAAATATCGAAAGAGGGACGGAGATAAAGAAGGCGAGCACCGACCCCAGAAATCCAAACATCTCCACTTTGCCGGTTCCAGATTCTTGCAGAAGGAATCGTCAGCCTAGCGCGAACTTGGCCGGGACAGAAGCAGGGCGAACCCGCCCCGAGAGACCAGGGACGCTTCGGGGGGCTGGCCCACAATCACGGGAGCCATTCATTGAGTGCCATAGAGAGACGGTAGGAGGGAATGAGGCGCGGCGGGAGGCTAGCGTTCCGGCCCAGAGCGGAATCGCCCAGTGGCCAGGATGCGGTCTGGGCGCCGAATGACGGGCAGCCGAAATCATTCGCGCTAGAAATTAACGGGCTGCCAGTTGTGACCCCAAAAGCACTGGGGAAAGTGGGGAGTTCGCTTTTTTTTTTAGACCGGAAGTACCAAGATGGACTCCAAGAATGAACAGCAGAGATATAAACTATTAGACTGACAGTTCTGCTGGTCGGACACGAGATTCTTGTCTGTCTGTTTATTTATTTATTTATTTAACACGAGACTCTTGTCTGCTTGTTTATTTAAGTGTCCTGAACTAGGAGAATGAGTGAATGAATGAATTTTTTTAATCCCACCTTTCCCCTTAAAAATCTCCTGAACTGGGAGAATGAGTGAATGAATGAATTTTTTTTAATCCCACCTTTCCCCTTAAAAAGGAACCAAGGCAGCTTATATTATTAAAGGACAGCATTTAAAACTAAAAACCAATACATATACACATATTTTAAAGGTATCAAACAAATATCACTCCGATAAATGGTAAACAAAAGCAATTCTAAAAATGCATTCAAAGCAGTAAGGCATAACAGACAATAAATAAATCCCATGACTTAACTCTTTTCCCAAGAAGGAAGTAGCAAGTGTCCGTTGGAAAAAGTCTGTGGGTAAAACAAAGTGTTTCAACTATGGGTTGCAGCATAGGTCCCACCATAGGACAAAGAATGCTACCCATTTTCTAACTCAGGCCATGTCTATCATATGTATTAGGTAGGAAAACTGATATCACCAGCGCAAGTAAACAGCCCATATTCCTTTTTATACAGCTTCTTTAATTCTGACACAGCGAAGAATGGGTGAACTTTCCAAGAGTAATCTGTTGCAACAAAAAACTTGTTAGCTTGTAGATATCACAGGATTCTTTGTAGCATGTCCATTAATGGCTCCCAAGGGGCACTTGAGGAGAAAGAGGGGGGGAAAAACCAAACACACTAAATAAACTGGTTCAGGAGACTTGAGTCTTGCTGACAGGTTTGAGGCTGACATCTCCTTAACATTCTTAAACTCTGAGACGTTTGCTTTCTTGAAGAACTACATTTATCAACTCAAAATTCTGCTTGTTAGAAAATACAGCAAACAAAGCCTAAACAAGCCTCCTCACGACCAACAACATCACATATAAAAAGGAGCCCATACAAGTTCCACCCACACACTGAAACAGTAAATCAAAGAAAATTCTGGAGCACTTTCAAATTCAGGCATCCCACTTTCTTGTTTAAAACCCATAATGCAACAACCTACTGCCCCTGAATAAACCAATATTTTTTTAATTACACAAGAATGAATAAAAAGAAGGAAAATTCTCTTCTGAAGTTAATTCTGTGTGTGGGTGTGGGTGCTGTCAAGTCCAAATTGACGTCAGCAACCCTAATAAGGCTTTCAAGGTAAATAAGATACTTAAGGAGTGTTTTTTTTTATCAGTGAGATATTCAAGTGTTTTTTTTTAAATTCCCATGTGTTTCCTTAGCTGAGCAGGAGTTCAAACCCTGGTCTCCAGAGCCTTAGTCCATCACTCTATCCACTACACCACACTGACAAGAAAATAAAGGAAATATATCATTAACATCATCCTGTTTTCTATAAAGCAAAGTGTATTTATGTAAGCTGCCTTTCATCTTCCCACATACTTTGGCTGACACCACTCATTCCTGTTCTTCCTGCAGCTGTTGGGTTTCTGATAAACCTTGAAGTGAAAGTATTCATCATCCACAGGCACACCCTCAAGGAGAGTCCAAAAATGTAGGTGTTCATCTGCATCAGCAAATCTGTTCCAGCATTTTCCCTCAGCACCAGGACTAGATAGTTTATATAGAGCCTGCAAATGTTAATTGCTCATTAGAACCAACGCTCCTACAAATTACATAGTAACACAAATAACCTGGATCCAATCCTATGTTTCCATGTTAAACACAACCTGCAGGTGCTCTCAAGGTTCTGTTTCATCTCCTATGCTATTTAACATCTACATAAAACCGCTGGGAAAGGTCGACAGGAGTTTTGGGATTTGGTATCGCTAGTGTGTGGATGACATCCAACTCTATCTCTCCTTGCCATTTACTGTAAATCCAAAGAAGTGGTTTCAGATCTAGATCAGTATCTGGTATCGGTAATAGACTGGATGAGGGTGAATAAGCTGAAACTTAATCCAGACAAGACAGAGGTGTTCCTAGTCAACTAAAAGGCAGATCAAGGAACAGGGATTCTCCCTGAATTCAGGGAGCCTGGGGGTACCCCTAAATGTGTCTCTGAGCCTGGTTTTAGTGGTGGCTAGGAGCGCATCTGCACAATTACAGTCATGGCCAAAAATATTGGCACCCTTGTAATTCTGTCAGAAAATGCAACCCTTCTCTCAGAAAATTGTTGCAGTACTCACATATTCATTTCTTTGGTTTGCATTGGAACAACCCCCCCCCAAAAAAAAACAGAAGAAAAGTCAAATCTGATACAATCCTACACAAAAACCCCAAAATGCACTGAAACTTCAGCAAGTCTGATATGCTGCTACCAGATTACAGTAGTTCCACTGGCTGTTAGTCCATTTCCAGGCACAATTCAAAGAGTTGGTTTTAAAATCCATAAATGACTTGGGTCCAAGCTACTTGAAAGATCCTTTATGAGTCTGCCCAAAATTTAAAATCACCAGGAAAGGCCTCTTTCTTGATCCTGAACCCTCACAAGTGCTTTTGGTGAGGACATGAGAGGGGACCTCCTCTGTGGCTGCTCCCAGATTCTGGAACTCCTTTCTTCCCACAGGAGGTCTGGCTGGCCACCTTTTTGCTGTCTTTCCATTCTCAGGTAAAGACCTTTCTCTCCAGTTTTTTCCTCAGTAAGTGGCTGCCCAGGCATGGGGCGGGGTTGCGTTTTTGTGTGTTTCTTTCTTCATTCCCTCTAGTTTGTGTACTGTTTGTTTCTATAAACAAGCTGTTTTGGGTTCTCTTGAGGAGAAAGACAGATTATCATTATGATGATTGTTGTAGATTTTTACATTTTTGGTTATATTTCTCTAAGCTATGCAGCAGAAACACGGGAATATACTAGGCACAATACAGTGGACCCTGGACTTACAGACGGCACGACTTACAGACTTTTCGAGTTACAGACTTCTCTGGCCACAAAATTTAGGTTCGACTTGCAGCCAGAGAATCAACCTACAGACCAGAAAAAAAACCAAAATGGGACAAAAATGGAAGAAAAACAGCTGGTTACAGGATAAATCGGTTTTCAATGCATTGTAGGTCAATGGAGATTTGACTTACAGACTTTTCGACCTGCAGCCACTGTTCCAATACGGATTAATTCCGTAAGTAGAGGGTTCACTGTAGCTTCAAATTCCCCAGAGTAGATCACCCTTCTTTCGGATTAACTGGCAATAACAGTCTCAGTAATTCACTCTGAGGCATTAGCAGTTGTTGTTGCTGTTTAGTTGTTAAGTCGTATCCGACTCCTCATGACCCCATGGACCAGAGCACGCCAGGCCCTTCTGTCCTCCACTGCCTCCCAGACTTTGGTCACATTCATGTTGGTAGCTTTGATGACACTGTCCAACCATCTTGTCCTCTGTCGTCCCCTTCTCCTCTTGCCTTCACACTTTCCCAACATCAGGGTCTTTTCCAGAGAGTCTTCTCTTCTCTCAAAATAGCCAAAGTATTGGAGCCTCAGCTTCAGGATCTGTCCTTCCAATGAGCACTCAGGGTTAATTTGCTTCAGAATGGATAGTTCTCCTTGCAGTTCAGGGGACTCTCAAGAGTCTCCTCCAGCACCACAATTCAAAAGTATCAGTTATTTGGCCGTCAGCCTTCTTTATGGTCCAGCTCTCGCTTCTATACATCACTACTAGAAAAACCATAGCATTGACTATGCAGACCTTTGTTGGCAATGTGATGTCTCTTCTTTTTAAGATGGTTTGTCATTGCTTTCCTTCCAAGAAGCCAGTGTCTTTTAATTTCGGGGCTGCTGTCTCCATCTGTCTCCGTCTGCAGTGATGAGGGAGCCCAAGAAAGTAAAATCGGTCACTGCTTCCATATCTTTCCCTTCTATTTGCTAGGAGGTGATGGGGTCCGTGGCCATGATCTTAGTTTTTTGATGTTGAGCTTCAGAGCATTTTTGGCACTCTCCTCTTTCACCCTCATTAAGAGGTTCTTTAATTCCTCCTCAATTTCTGCCATCAGAGTGGTATCATCTGCAAATCAGAGGTTGTTGATATTTCTTCCGGCAATCTTAATTATGGCTTCGGATTCCTCCAGTGCGGCCTTTCGCATGATGTATTCTGCATGTAAATTAAATAAGGAGAGGGACAATATACAGCCTTGTTGTACTCCTTTCTCAAGTTTGAAACAATCCCTTGTTCTATATTGAGTTCTAACTGTTGCCTCCTGTCCCACATGTAGGTTTCTCAGGAGATAGATACTCCCATTTCTTTAAGGACTTGCCATAGTTTGTTGTGGCCCACACAGTCAAAGGCTTTTGTGTAGTCAATGAAGCAGAAGTAGATGTTTTTCTTAAACTCTCTGGACTTTCTCCATAATCCAGGGCATGTTAGCAATTTGGTCTCTAGTTCCTCTGCCCCTTCGAAATCCAGCTTGTACTTCTGGGAGTTCTCGGTCCACATACTGCTGAAGCCTACCTTGGAGGATTTTGAGCATAACCTTGCTAGCGTGTGAAATGAGTGCAATTGTACGATAGTTGGAGCATTTTTTGACACTGTCATTCTTTGGAATTGGGATGAAGCCTGATCTTTTCCAGTCCTCTGGCCACTGCTGAGTTTTCCAAACTTGCTGCGATATTGAGTGTAGCACCTTCACAGCATCATATTTTAAGATTTTAACGTTCAACAGGAATGCCATCATCTCCACTGGCCTTGTTGTTAGCCATGCTTTCTAAGGCCCACTTGACTTCACTCTCCAGGATGTCTGGCTCAAGGTCGGCAACCACACTATCTGGGTTGTCTGGGACATCCAAATTTTTCTGTGTATTCTTGCCACCTCGTCTTGATGTCTTCTGCTTCTGTTAAATCCCTAGTATTTTTGCTCTTTATCGTGTCAGTCTTTGTACAAAATGTTCCCTTAATATCTCTGATGGTTTTGAATA